CACTCCAGCCTGGGTAACAAGAGCGAAACTCTGTCTCAAAAAAAAAAATAAATAAATAAATAAATAAAAAAAATAAAAATAAAAACAAAAACAAAAAATAAAAAAACTTGACCCTGAACAACGTTGGAATTATGGGAGAGAAACCCTGTGTAGTCAGCCAAAAATCCACATAAAACTTTTGACTCCCCCCAAATTTAACTATTAATAGCCTGCCGTTGCCGGGTCCATGGCTCACGCCTGTAATTCCAACACTCTGAGAGGCTGAGGTCTGTAGATTGCATGATCTCACGAGTTCAAGACCAGCCTGGGCAACATGGAAAAACCTCTTCTCTACAAAAAATGCCTGGTGCGGTGGCTTGCACCTGTAATCCCAGCACTTTGGGAGGCAGAGGCAGGTGGATCACGTGAGGTCAGGAGTTTCAGACCAGTCTGGCCAACATGGTGAAACCTTGTCTCTACTAAAAATACAAAAAACTATCCAGGCGTGGTGGCAGGCACCTGTAATCCCAGCTATTTGGGAGGCTGAGGCAGAAGAATCGCTTGCCTGGGAGGTGGAAGTTGCAGTGAGCCAAGACTGGGGCACTGCACTCCAGCTTAGGTGACAGACCGAGACTCTGCCTCAACAACAAAACAAAACAAAACAAAAAACAAAAATTAGCCACGAGTGGTGATGTGTGTCTTGTAGTCCCAGCTACTTGAGAAGCTGAGGTGGGAGGATGGCTTCAAACCTTGAACCTAGGAGTTGGAGGTTGCTGTGAGTTGAGATCATACTATTGCACTCCAGCCTGGGTGACAGACTCAGACTTTGTGTCAAAAAAAAAAAAAAAAAAAGGTCAGGCTCGATGACTCACAACTGTAATCACAGCACTTTGGGAGGCCGAGTCGAGTGGATTGAGGTCAGGAGTTTAAGACCAGCCCAGCCAACGTGGTGAAACCCCATCTCTACTAAAAAATACAAAAATTAGCTGAGTATGGTGGTATGAGCCTGTAATCCCAGATACTCAGGGCTGAGGCAGAACTGCTTGAACCTGGGAGGTGGAGGTTGCAGTGAGCTGAGATTGAGCCACTGCACTCCAGCCTGGATGATAGAGGGAGACTCTGGAAAAAAAAAAAAAAGAGTCTGGAAAAAAAAAGCATGCTGTTAAAAAAAAAACAAACAAAAAACAAGCATGCTGTTGACAGGAAGCCTTACCAATAACATAAACAATCAATACATTTTGTATATTATATACTCTATTCTTACAATAAAGTAAACTAGGGAAAATAAAAGAAAATGAAACGGAAAAAGAAACTATGCTTACTATTCATTAAGTGGACGTGGCTTATCTCTCTCTATATACACACACACACATATATATATATATACACACACACACTTTTTTTTTTTTGAGATGGAGTCTCACTCTGTCACCCAGGCTGGACTGCAGTGGTGCAATCTTGGCTCACTGCAAGTTCTGCCTTCTGGTTTTAAGCAATTCTCCTGCCTCAGCCTCTGGAGTAGCTAGGATTATAGGTGCCCGTCACTATGCCCAGCTAATTTTTGTATTTTTAGTAGAGATGAGGTTGTTTGCCAGGCTGGTCTCAAACTCCTGATCCACCCACCTAGGCCTCTCAAACTGCTAGGATTACAGGGGTGAACCACCATGCCCAGCTGGCTTATCATATTTTTTAACTTTTTTTTTTTCTGACCTGTATCATAAAGTCAGGATCATCATAAAGGTCTTCACCCTTGTGGTTCTTCAGCTGGGTAGGCTGAGGAGGACAAGGCAAAGGAGTTGCTCTTGCTGCCTCAGGGGTGGCAGAGGTGGGGGAGGTGGAAGGGGAGGCAGGAAAGGCAGGCACTCTCGGTATAACTTTTATTTATTTTTAGAGACAGGGTCTTGATCTGTTGCACAGGCTGGAGTGCAGTGATATGAGCGTAGCTCACTGCAGTGTCTGAACTCCTGGGCTCAAGCAATTCCACCTCATCCTTCCAAATAGCTGGGATTACAGGCATGCACTGCCAGGCCTGGCCACATCTTTTTAAATTATTTTTTTGTAAAGACAGTCTTACTTTTTTGCCCAGGCTGGTCTTGAACGCTTGGCTTCAAGCAATCCTGAGGTCTCAACCTTCTAAAATGTTGGAATTAAAGGCATGACCAACCACACCCAGCCCTCAGTGTAAGTTTTATTGAAAAAATTCTGCCTATAAATGGACCCGTGCAGTTCAAACCCATGTTATTCAAGGGTCAGCTGTGTACAGATCATGACAGAGGCAGAGAAACTCAAGTGTGAAATCAGCAGGCAGGAATGTATTGTACTCCTTTTCAGGGGAGAGCTTTCTCTAGACTCAGCCTGAAGGCAATCTTTGAACACTTTCGCTCCCCTCATCTAAAGGAACTCAGGGTACTGAGAAGCTAGTTAGTGAGGATCTTCAAGGATAATTTCCTGTTTGAATATTTTGTAAATCCCCAAAGTACCCAATATTATCTTCATCATCATCAAAAGCACATAATAATTACCCATCTGCAGATGCTGCTCTGGGCCACCTACTGCCCTTGCCCTAGAAGGAGTTTGCAGACTGAGACAAGATCTCCCAGGTAGCCCTAGGAAGGTCACCTGGGGAGCAAATGAAGAGTAGCCTGATGGTAATTTTGAATCTTTGTTACAACCACACCAAGTGACCCACTAAGCCCAGAATCCCTGCTCTGATTTCTGACTCTTTCATCTCAGCCTATACAAAGATCACCAAAAACATCTTCACCAACGGAATCAACCATTCATGAGTTTTGGGAAAGGAGAGTGTTAGAAGGGGGAGGGGCAGCAAACATTAAAAGATATAATCCTGGCCGGGCGCGGTGGCTCACGCCTGTAATCCCAGCACTTTGGGAGGCCGAGGCGGGTGGATCACGAGGTCAAGAGATCGAGACCATCCTGGTCAA